AGTGATGTGTGAGGTGACAGTTGATGGTGAGGACCGTGAAGGTGGCGAGACCGTGATGGTGAGAGACAGTGATGGTGAGAGCAGTGATGGTGAGACAGTGGGGTGAGAGACAGTGATGGTGAGAGTCAGTGATGGTGAGTGACAGTGATAGTGAGAGGACACTGATTGGTGAGTGACAGTGGTGGCGAAGCGGGGACCTGTGATGGTGAGAGACAGTGATGGTGACGAGCGAGTGATGGTGAGGTGGCCAGTGATGGTGAGACCAGTGATGGTGAGAGACAATGATGGTGAGAGGGACAGTGATGGTGAGAGACAGGCTGGTGAGACAGTGAGTGAGAGTCAGTGATGGTGAGACGACAGTGATGGTAGAGACATTGTTGGTGGACACAGTGATGGGATGAGTGTCAGTGATGGTGAGCGTCAGTGATTATAGGGCTGAGAGACAGTGATGGTGAGAGACAGTGATGGTGAGAGACAGTGATGGTGAGAGACAGTGATGGTGAGTGACAGTGATGGTGAGAGACAGTGATGGTGAGAGACAGTGATGGTGAGTGACAGTGATTGTTTTATGAGTGACAGTGATGGTGAGGAGATAGTGATGTCTTTTTGTAGAGACAGTGATGGTGAGTGACAGAGATGGTGAGTGGCAGTGATAGTGAGAGACAGTGATGGTGAGAGATAGTGATGGTGAGAGACAGTGATGGTGAGTGACAGTGATGGTGAGTGACAGTGCTGGTGAGTGACAGTGATGTGTAGATAGTGAATGGTGAGATACAGTGATGGTGTGTTGACCAGTGATGGTGAGTGACCAGTGAGGTGTGTGACCGTGATGGTGAGTGATATGATGGTGAGAGACCGAATGATGGTGAGTGACAGTGATGGTGAGAGACAGTGATGGTGAGAGATAGTGATGGTGAGTGACAGTGATGGTGAGTGACAGTGATGGTGAGTGCAGTGATGGTGAGTGCCAGTGATGGTGACGTGTCAGTTGATGGTGAGAGTACAGTGAGGTGAGTGGACAGTGATGGTGAGTTGACCATGATGGTGAGTGACAGTGCTGGTGAGTGACAGTGATGGTGAGTGACAGTGATAGTGAGTGACAGTTGGATGGTGAGGACAGTGTGTGTTTGCGCACCGTGCGCAAACCGCGTAGACACACCACACACACCACACAACGTGCACCGCACACACCACACACTCAACGTGCACACGGACACACACACCACGTGGACACACACCGCACGTACACAACACGTGCAAAACACACACACACACACACACCACACACACCACACAACACACACACACACACACGTGCCACCACACACACACACACACACCACACACACGTGCACTCACACACACACACACACACACAACACACGGCACACACACACACACACACTCACACACACACACACACACACACACACACGTGACACACACACCACATACACACACACACACCCACAACACACGTGCACACACACACACAACACACACACACCACACACAACACACACACCCACACACACACACACACACACACCACACACACCCACCCGTGCTACAAACACACACACACAACACACACACACACACACACACAACACACACGTGCACACACACACACACAACACCCACACACACACACACACACCACACACACCCACACACACACACACACACGGCACAACACACACACACCACGTGCACCACACACACACACGTACACAAGCTGACATTCTGGCCCACTGCTGGTCATATTTCATGTGTTTAACAACCCTGCCTCTACGCCCACGCACATGTGCACACAACCAGGCATTACACACCGCCTACACCAGGGGTGTACGTGCGTACACAAAAACCCCCCCCCCCCCCAACGTGCACATTGTATAAACACATACAACTGACTCAGAGCTATGCTCACCTGCAGTACACATGGGTCAGTACCACACAGTAGGGTAGAGCCCTCAGTCTACATCCTAGTGAGTAGAGCCCTTAGTCTATTACAAGATGAACAGAGCCTCAGACTATTACATGATAGATTGAGACCTCGAGTCTTATGCCCTAGGGAAAGGGATAAGCCTTAAATCTATTATGTGATAAGAAAGAGCCCTCCAGCTATGCTCTTAGGATCGATAGAGCCCTCAGTTTATGTCTAGGATAGTAGAGCCTCAGTTATACTCTAGAAAAGCTAGGGCCTTTCAGTTTATGCTCTTAGGATAGACAGAATCCTCAGTCTATCCTCCTAGGATAGATAGGGCCATGCAGTCTTTTCCTCGTAGGATAGATAGGGCCCTCGTCTTCTCCTCCTAGATAGATAGGGCCCTCAGTTATCCTCCTAGGATAGTATAGGGCCCTCTCAGTCTATGCACATAGGATAGACCAGGACCCCTCAATCTATGCTCCTAGGATAGATAGACCCCTCTATTCATCTAGGATAGATAGGAGCCGGGCAGGAAGGAGGGTGAGGGAGGAAGCGGAGGAGAGGGCGGGGCAAGCAGGGGCTGCCAGAGGGCACGCAGATCCGCATGCCGCAGGAAAAAGGGAGAATCGTCAGGAGGCGACTGAGGAAGGCGCAGCCGGAGAGGCGAGAGGGCCCAGCTGCGTCTGGTTGATTGGTAGAGTGACTGTGAAGGTGGTCCGGCTCCTGATCCAAGGTACGGAGACAAAACCATTACTATTATTAAAAATACATCAAATAAACACCATATAATAATAATAATAATCCTAATAAATTCTAATAATAATCATAATAATAATCATCATAATAATACTAATTATTATAATAATAATAATATAATAATACTTATAATAATAATAATAATATTAATCATATTATAATAAATATATAATAAAAATAATACATAATAATAATTATAATAATAATAAATTAATAAATAATTCTAATAATAATAATAATAATAATAATAATAATAATAAATAAAATTAATTATAATAATAAAAATAATTTAATATAATAATAATAATTTCATAATAATAATAATTCTAATAATAATAATAATAATTATATAATAATAAATAATTATAATTAATAATAATAATTAAATAATTTATAATATAATAATATAATAATTATAATAATAATAATAATAATAATTATAATAATAATAATAATATATACTCAATATAATTAATAATAATAATTATAATATAATAATAATAATTATAATAATACTATAATTATAATAATTAATAAAGGCCCTTTAAAGTCTTTTAGTGTTAAAGAAAGAGCCCAGTTTGCTCTTAGGATAATAGAGCCCTCAGTTTATGCTCCTAGGATAGATAGAGCCCTCAGTCTATACTCCTAGAATAGATAGGGCCTTCAGTTTATGCTCTTAGGATAGACAGAATCCTCAGTCTATCCTCCTAGGATAGATAGGGCCATCAGTCTATCCTCGTAGGATAGATAGGGCCCTCAGTCTATCCTCCTAGGATAGATAGGGCCCTCAGTCTATCCTCCTAGGATAGATAGGGCCCTCAGTCTATGCTCATAGGATAGACAGGACCCCTCAATCTATGCTCCTAGGATAGATAGAACCCTCTATCATCCTAGGATAGATAGAGCCCTCTGTCTATCCTCCTACGATAGATAAACCTATCCTAAAGGCGTCTTTTTAGGCCTTCAGGATCTTAATCTGGGATGCCCTGAGTTTCTCTGGGAGGCCCTGAATGGCACTGGGATGCCCTGTGTGGCTCTGGGATGCCCTGAGTGACTCTCAGAGGCCCTGAGTGGCTCTGGGAGGCCCTGAGTGACTCTGGGAGGCTTTGAGTGGCTCTGGGAGGCCCTGAGTGACTCTGGGATGCCCTGAGTGGCTCTGGGATGCCCTGAGTGGCTCTGGGAGGCCTGAGTGGCTCTGGGAGGCCCTGAGTGGCTCTGGGAGGCCCTGAGTGGCTCTGGGAGGCCCTGAGTGGCTCTGGGAGGCCCTGAGTAGCCCTGGGAGACCGTCATAGCTTACCTGGTTAATTAGACCTACCTGATCCCTGGGGTCATGACCTGGCAGGTCACTGCAGTTGACCCCACTCTTACACTCTAATGACCCCTGGTCATTAAGGGTACTATCTACCCTTAACCAGCCATTACCTCTTAACTAGGGCCCTAGAGCTAGGATAACCCAGCCTATAGGCCTAGATACCTTCTTTAGACCTAATTTGCACAGCACTAACAATGAGAATATTTTTCTATTTTTCATAGATATTTTGGTGGCTTTATCTCTCCTATTTAAGGGAGTGGACCCTTGTTGGGGTCTTTAGGGCTGTGAGCCTCCTGTTGCTGGTCTGCTTAGGCCTCTAGGCCTATTGTGATGTCTCTTTGTTTTAAGAAAGGCACTAAACGGGTCCAGAACAAGTACTGGAAAGGTCCAGAACGCATACTAAACAGGTCAGGAACATGTATTAAACAGGTCCAGAACAGGTAGTAAACAGGTCAGGAACACGTACTGAACACATACAGAACACATGCTAAACAGGTGCAGAACACGTACTAAACAGGTGCAGAACACATACTAAGCAGGTGCAGAACACGTACTAAACACGTCCAGAACAGGTAGTAAACAGGTCAGGAACACCTACTGAACACATACAGAACACATACTAAACAGGTCCAGAACACGTACTAAACAGGTCCAGAGCACGTACTAAACAGGTCCAGACCACGTACTAAACAGGTCCAGAGCACGTACTAAACAGGTCCAGAGCACGTACTAACAGGTCCAGAGCACGTACTAAACAGGTCCAGAGCACGTACTAAACAGGTCCAGAGCACGTACTAAACAGGTCCAGAGCACGTACTAAACAGGTCCAGAGCACGTACTAAACAGGTCCAGAGGACGTACTAAACAGGTCCAGAATACGTACTAAGCAGGTCCAGAACACGTAATAAACAGGTCCAGGTCTAGCACGAGGGACGCTACTAAACACCTTAAACAAGTCAAGAATAAGTCCAAAACAGGTACTAACCAGGTGTCACCCCTCAGGTAACGTCCAGATCTACCACGAGGGACGCTGGGGTAACATCTGTGATGATGAATGGGACACCAGGGAAGGAGAGATTGTCTGCCGCACCCTGGGTTTCCCTGGCTTACAAAAGGTCACCTATACTGGCTTGTATGGTCATGTTAAAGGTCAGTGTACTGGCTTGTTGTGGATCCTTAGGGCCCTGACTAGGGTGTTAGGGCCTCGTAGGGGTACTAGCCTCCTAACACCCCCCTGAGGACACAGTCAGGGGCATTTAGAGGGCTACAGTTCCTGGGACTGATCCCCTTATCTTAAAAATACATTAATTTAGAGAGTTACTGACCTTATATTTACATGAAGTTTAATTACCCAGGTATTTATATACCTGGTTAATTAGTTACCTAGGTATCAGGTACCTGGGTAATTAGGTGCCTAGGTTATTAGGTAACTTTCTAATAAGCCACCTGAGTAATTAGGTACCTAGGTTATTACGTATCTTGGTAATTATCTACCTGGGTAATTAGGTACCTAGATTATTAGGTATTTGGTTAATTAGGCATCTAGCTTATCAAGGTACCAGCTTAATTAGGTAGCTAAGTTATCAGGTATCTGGTTAATTAGGTACTGAGGTTATCAGGTACCTGGCTAATTATGTACCTAGGTTATTAGGGAATTGTTTAATTGGGTACCTGAAAATTGATTACTGTCTGGAAAACCTTCCAGCTCCATCCCCAAACATCTTACTGCTGGTGATTTCAACCTAAGAGACAAAATGGAAGAATGTAGCAAATAATGTTATAGCTGAAACAATCCCCGGAGGTAGCGCAGATGAAAGGTCACACACACATGAGCTACTAAGTCTCTGCGAGAAACACACCTTAAGCCAGCAGATAGTGGAGCCAACATGACTAGAAAACACACTTGACCTTATCTTCACAAATAATGAGGACCTGATAAGAGACATAAGAATATCAAAAACAACTAATTCAATCACGATCTAATCGAAGTCCAGACGTACATGCATAGGGGTCCTGAACAGCGAATGCATGAAACTGTGAAGGTGTCTTCACAAAATACAACTTCAACAACAAGAACATAAACTGGGACCGGGGTAAACCATGTCCTAAACGAAACATGTTGGGAAGATGCCCTTAAATGACATGGACCAAACCAGTGCCTTGAAAGGATCAACTTCCTGGTAGCCGAAGCTTTGTTCTAGGCATATTCCCCTAGAAAGAAGAAGAGCAGGAGTAAACGGGAGAGAGAAAAGACGCTCCCTCTACAGAAGACGACGAAGAGTCACTGAGCTCCTCAGGAGTGTTTAGAATATCTGATACACGAAAGGAGGCGCTGACCAGGGAAGTGGAAACTATCGAACTTAAGCTAAATGACTCTTACAGGAACCAGGAGAGACAGGACGAGCTTAAAGCTATTAGTGAAATTGAAAGAAATTCGAAATATTTCTTTTCATATACCAAAAACAAGGCAAATACCACATCTAGTATCGGACCCTTACTCAGACAGGATGGGACTTACTCAGACAGGATGGGACTTACCAGACAGGATGGGACTTTACACAGACAGGATGGGACTTACTCAGACAGGATGGGACTTACACAGACAGGATGGGACTTACTCGGACAGGATGGGACTTACTCAGACAGGATGGGACTTACTCAGACAGGATGGGACTTACTCGGACAGGATGGGACTTACTCGGACAGGATGGGACTTACTCAGACAGGATGGGATGACAGATGACAACAAGGAAATAAAGGGGAAATATTGAAATCCCAGTCGACTCTGTGTTTAGGGAACCACTAATCAGTCTGAGGATCGACGACCCAAATGATTTCTTCATGAATGAGCCTCAAAACTCCATAAATGTATGCCAGATTTCCGACATTACCCTAACTCTGACAGACTTTGAAAAAGCCATTGACAACATGCCTATGCACTCAGCCCCGGGCCCAGACTCGTGGAACTCTGTGTTCGTTAAAAAACTGCAAGAAACCCCTCTCGCGTTTCCCTAAGTACACTAGGAGGAGGAGCTTGGACATGGGTGAATTCCAGTCACTTAAAACAACGGAAAATAGCCCCACCCATAAAGGTGGCAGCAAAGCAGTACCTAAGAACTATAGACCAATAGCTCTAACGTCCCACATCCTAAAAATCTTTGAAAGAGTTCTAAGAAGCAGGATTCCAAATCACCTGGATTCCCAAAATCTGCACAATCCAGGGCAACATGGTTCAGGGCACGTCACTCCTGGGTCTCACAACTACTGGATCACTATGATATTTGGGCTTGGATGGTCGCTCCTGCCTTTTCACAACTACGGATCACTATGATTTTGGTCTTTGGGTGGTTCGCTCCCCCCGCCTCTCACAACTACTGGGTCACTATGATTGGTCTTGGATGGTCGCTCCTGCCCCTCACAACTACTGGATCACTATGATATGGTCTTGGATGGTCACTCCTGCCTCTCACAACTACTGGATCACTATGATATGGTCTTGGATGGTCGCTCCTGCCTCTCACAACTACTGGACACTATGATATGGGCTTGGATGGTCGCTCCCGCCTCTCACAACTACTGGATCACTTGATATGGTCTTGGATGGTCGCTCCTGCCTCCTTCACAACTACTGGATCACTATGATAGGTCTTGGATGGTCGCTCCTGCCCCTCACAACTACTGGGTCACTATGATTATGGTCTTGGATGGTCGCTCCTGCCTCTCACAACTACTGGATCACTATGATATGGTCTTGGATGGTCGCTCCTGCCTCTCACAACTACTGGATCACTATGATATGGGCTTGGTGGTCGCTCCTGCCTCTCACAACTACTGGATCACTATGATACGGTCTTGGATGGTCGCTTCTGCCTCTCACAACTACTGGATCACTATGATATGGTCTTGGATGGTCGCTCCCGCCTCTCACAACTACTGGATCACTATGATATGGCCTTGGATGTCACTCCTGCCCCCTCCAACTACTGGATTCACTATGATATGGTCTTGGATGGTCGCTCCTGCCTCTCACAACTACTGGATCACTATGATATGGTCTTGGATGGTCGCTCCTGCCTCTCACAACTACTGGATCATATGATATGGTCTTGGATGGTCGCTCCTGCCTCTCACAACTACTGGATCACTATGATATGGTCTTGGATGGTCGCTCCTGCCTCTCACAACTACTGGATCACTATGGGTATTGGTCTTGGATGCACTGAAAGAAAATCGAATGCAGATGTAATATACACAGACTTTGCAAAAACATTTGACAAATGCGTCATGGGTAATAGCCCCTTTAAAAAACGTGCTAAAGGAATAACTGGAAAAGTGGGGAGATGGATCTTCAACTTCCTAACAAATCGAACACAAAGGGGTAGTGGTCAACAGAGTTAAATCGGAGGCTGCCATAAACTGGAGTTTACCTGGAGAGAGTTCCGGGGGTCAACGCCCCCGCGGGGCCCCGGTCTGTGACCAGGCCTCATTGTGGATCGAGGGCCCGATCAACCCGGCTGTTACTGCTGGCTGCACGCAATCCAACATACGAGCCACAGCCCGGCTGGCCCGGTACCGACTTTAGGGGCTTGTCTAGTGCCCGCTTGAAGACTGCCAGGGGTCTATTGGTAATCCCCCTTATGTATGCTGGGAGGCAGTTGAACAGTCTCGGGCCCCTGACACTTATTGTATGGTCTCTTAAAAGTGTAGTGACACCCTGCTTTTTATTGGGGGATGGTGCATCGTCTGCCAGTCTTTTGCTTTCGTAGTGAGTGATTTTCGTGTGCAAGTTCGGTACTAGTCCCTCTAGGATTTTCCAGGTGTATATAATCATGTATCTCTCCCTCCTGCGTTCCAGAGAATTAGGTTTAGGAACCTCAAGCGCTCCAGTAATTGAGGTGTTTTATCTCCGTTATGCGCGCCGTGAAAGTTCTTGTACATTTTCTAGGTCGGCCCAAATTTTACCCGCCTTGAAAGGTGCTGTTAGTGTGCAGCAATATTCCAGCCTAGATAGAACAAGTGACCTGAAAAAGTGTCATCATGGGCTTGGCCTCCCAGTTTTGAAGGTTTCATTATCCATCCTGTCATTTTTCTAGCAGCTGCGATTGATACAATGTTATGGTCCTTGAAGGTGAGATCCTCCGACATGATCACTCCCAGGTCTTTGACGTTGGTGTTTCGCTCTATTTCGTGGCCAGAATTTGTTTTGTACTCTGATGAAGATTTAATTTCCTCGTGTTTACCATATCGGAGTAATTGAAATTTCTCATCGTTGAACTTCATATTGTTTTCTGCAGCCCACTGAAAGATTTGGTTGATGTCCGCCTGGAGCCTTGCAGTGTCTGCAATGTCTGCCTGGAGCCTTGCAGTGTCTGCAACGTCCGCCTGGAGCCTTGCAGTGTCTGCAATGTCCGCCTGGAGCCTTGCAGTGTCTGCAATGTCTGCCTGGAGCCTTGCAGTGTCTGCAATGGAAGACACTGTCATGCAGATTCAGGTGTCATCTGCAAAGGAAGACACGGTGCTGTGGCTGACATCCTTGTCTATGTTAGATATGAGGATGAGAAACAAGATAGGAGCGAGTACTGTGCCTTGTGGAACACTGGGAGCCAGTACTGTGTCTTGTGGAACACTGGGAGCCAGTACTGTGCCTTGTGAAACACTGGGAGCGAGTACTGTGCCTTGTGGAACACTGGGAGCGAGTACTGTGCCTTGTGGAACACTGGGAGCGAGTACTGTGCCTTGTGGAACACTGGGAGCGAGTACTGTGCCTTGTGGAACACTGGGAGCCAGTACTGTGCCTTGTGGAACAGAGCTTTTCACCGTAGCTGCCTCGGACTTTACTCTGTTGACTACTACTCTTTGTATTCTGTTTGTGAGGAAATTATAGATCCATCTACCAATTTTTCCTGTTATTCCTTTATCACGCATTTTGTGCGCTATTACACCATGGTCACACTTGTCGAAGGCTTTTGCAAAGTCTGTGTATATTACATCTGCATTCTTTTTGTCTTCTAGTGCATCTAGGACCTTGTCGTAGTGATCCAATAGTTGAGACAGACAGGAGCGACCTGTTCTAAACCCATGTTGCCCTGGGTTGTGTAACTGATGGGTTTCTAGATGGGTGGTGATCTTGCTTCTTAGGACCATTTCAAAGATTTTTATGATATGGGATGTTAGTGCTATTGGTCTGTAGTTCTTTGCTGTTGCTTTACTGCCACCTTTGTGGAGTGGGGCTATGTCTGTTGTTTTTAGTAACTGTGGGACGACCCCCGTGTCCATGCTCCCTCTCCATAGGATGGTAAAAGCTCGTGATAGGGGCTTCTTGCAGTTCTTGGTGAACACGGAGTTCCTTGAGTCTGGCCCTGGGGCAGAGTGCATGGGCATGTCATTTATCGCCTGTTCGAAGTCATTTGGCGTCAGGATAACATCAGATAGGCTTGTGTTTATCAAATTCTGTGGCTCTCTCATAAAAAAATAATTTTGATCTTCGACTCTCAGTCTGGTTAGTGGCTTGCTAAAAACTGAGTCATATTGGGACTTGAGTAGCTCACTCATTTCCTTGCTGTCATCTGTGTAGGACCCATCTTGTTTAAGTAGGGGCCCAATACTGGACGTTGTTCTCGACTTTGATTTGGAATAGGAGCAGAAATACTTTGGGTTTCTTTCGATTTCATTTATGGCTTTTAGTTCTTCCCGCGATTCCTGACTCCTATAAGATTCCTTTAGCTTAAGTTCGATGCTTGCTATTTCTCTGACCAGTGACTCCCTACGCATTTCGGATATATTGACCTCTTTTAGCCGCTCTGTTATTCTTTTCCGTCGCCTGTAAAGGGAGCGCCTGTCTCTTTCTGTTTTACATCTACTCCTCCTTTTTCTTAGAGGAATAAGTCTTGTGCATACATCGAGTGCCACCGAGTTAATCTGTTCTAGGCATAAGTTGGGGTCTGTGTTGCTTAGTATATCTTCCCAGCTTATATCGGTTAGGACTTGGTTTACTTGGTCCCACTTTATGTTTTTGTTATTGAAGTTGAATTTGGTGAATGCTCCCTCGTGACTAGTCTCATTTTGTCGGTCTGGGGCTCCACGCATACATGTCTGAACCTCAATTATGTTGTGATCTGAGTATATTGTTTTTGATATGGTGACATTTCTTATCAGATCATCATTGTTAGTGAAGATGAGGTCTAGTGTATTCTCCAGTCTAGTAGAGCTCTGTTCCACAAGGCACAGTAGTCACCCCCATCTTATTCCTTATCCTCATATCAGACATAAACAGAGATATACACCACAGCACCGTATCATTCTTTGCGGATGATACTAGGATCTGCATGAGGCTGTCATCTGCTGAGGACGCGGTTAACCTCCAAGAAGATATAAATAAAGTTTTCCAGTGGGCAACGGTAAACAATATGATGTTCAATGAGGACAAATTCCAACTACTCCGTTATGGAAAACTGGAGGAGATAATAACTAGAACAGAGTATACTACTGACTCCGGCCATACAATAGAGCGGAAAAATAATGTAAGGGACCTGGGAGTAGTAATGTCTGAGGATCTCACTTTCAAGGATCGCAACAGTGCCACGATCGCACGTGCAAAGAAAATGACAGGATGGATAATGAGAACTTTCAAAACGAGAGATGCCAAGCCAATGATAATCCTTTTCAAATCACTTGTTCTCTCTAGGCTGTAATACTGCTGTACATTAACATCTCCATTCAAAGCAGGTGAAATCGCAGATCTAGAGAGTGTACAGAGATCCTTTACTGCACGTATAAGTTCTGTCAAGCACCTTAACTACTGGGAACGCTTGGAAGCACTTGACTTGTACTCGTTGGAACGCAGGAGGGAGAGATATATCATAATCTACACTTGGAAAATCTTGGAAGGAATGGTCCCAAATCTGCACACAGAAATCACTCCCTATGAAAGTAAAAGACTGGGCAGGCGATGCAAAATGCCCCCAATAAAAAGTAGGGGCGCCATTGGTACACTAAGAGAAAACACCATAAGTGTCCGGGGCCCAAGACTGTTCAACAGCCTCCCACCAAGCATAACGGGAATTAACAATAAACCCCTGGCTGCCTTCAAGACCCCCTGGCTGCCTTCAAGACCCCCTGGCTGCCTTCAAGACCCCCTGGCTGCCTTCAAGACTCCCTGGCTGCCTTCAAGACCCCCTGGCTGCCTTCAAGACCTCTGGCTGCCTTCAAGACCCCTGGCTGCCTTCAAGACCCCTGGCTGCCTTCAAGACCCCTGGCTGCCTTCAAGACCCCTGGCTGCCTTCAAGACCCCTGGCTGCCTTCAAGACCCCTGGCTGCCGTCAAGATCCCTGGCTGCCTTCAAGACCCCCTGGCTGCCTTCAAGACCCCTGGCTGCCTTCAAGATCCCTGGCTGCCTTCAAGACTCCCTGGCTGCCTTCAAGACCCCCTGGCTGCCTTCAAGACCCCCTGGCTGCCTTCAAGACTCCCTGGCTGCCTTCAAGACCCCCTGGCTGCCTTCAAGACCCCCTGGCTGCCTTCAAGACTCCTGGCTGCCTTCAAGACCCCCTGGCTGCCTTCAAGACCTCTGGCTGCCTTCAAGACCCCTGGCTGCCTTCAAGACCCCTGGCTGCCTTCAAGACCCCTGGCTGCCTTCAAGACCCCTGGCTGCCTTCAAGACCCCTGGCTGCCTTCAAGACCCCTGGCTGCCGTCAAGATCCCTGGCTGCCTTCAAGACCCCCTGGCTGCCTTCAAGACCCCTGGCTGCCTTCAAGATCCCTGGCTGCCTTCAAGACCCCTGGCTACCTTCAAGACCCCTGGCTGCCTTCAAGACCCCTGGCTGCCTTCAAGACCCCTGGCTGCCTTCAAGACCCCTGGCTGCCTTCAAGACCCCTGGCTGCCTTCAAGACCCCTGGCTGCTTTCAAGATCCCTGGCTGCCTTCAAGACCCCCTGGCTGCCTTCAAGACCCCTGGCTGCCTTCAAGACCCCTGGCTGCCTTCCAGAGAGAGCTGGACAGATACCTAAAGTCAGTGCCGGATCAGCCGGGCTGTGGTTCGTACGTTGGACTGCGTGCGGCCAGCAGTAACAGCCTGGTTGATCAGGTCCTGATCCACCGGGAGGCCTGGTCGTGGACCGGGCCGCGGGGGCGCTGATCCGCGGAATAACCTCCAGGTAACCTCCAGGTACCTGCGTAATTAAGGATCTAGATTATTAGATACCTGGTTAATTAGGTACCAAGAGAATCAGCTACCTGATTAATTATATGCCGATGTTATTAGGTAACTGGTTAATTTGATACCTACGTTATTAGTTACCTGGGTATTGGTAATTGGGGACCTAGGTAATTACGTAACTGGGTATTAGGTAATTAGGTACCTAGTAACTACGTAACTAGATACCCGGATAATTAGTTACATAGGTTATTAGGTATCTATGTAATTAGGTACATAGATAATTAGTTACCTGGGAAAGTAAGTACCTGGTTAAGTAGGTACTTGGGTTATTAGATACTGTGTAATTAGGTACTTGTGTAAGTGCCTAGATAATTAGGAACTTGGGTAATAAGGTGAATGTGTAATAGGAACCTCCGTAATTAGGTATCTAGGTTATTAGGTACTTGGTTAATTAGAAATCTAGGTTATTAGGTACTTCATTAATTAGAAACCTAGGTTTTAGGCACCAGGTTCATTAGGTAACTAAGTTGTTAGGTACCTGGGTAATTAGGTAATTAGCTACCTATGTTATTAGGTACCTGAGTATTAGGTAATTTGCTTCCTGGGTAATTAGTTTCCAAGATAATCAGATACCTATGTAATTAGGTACCCTGGTAATTAACTACCAGGTTAAGTATGTATCTGGATAATTAGGTACCTAGAGTTATTAGGTACTGTGTAGCTAGGTGCCTAAGTAATTAGGTACTTGGGTATTAGGTGAATGTATAATTAGGTACCTGGGTAACCAGGCAAATGGGCAATTAGGTATCTGGGTAATTAGGTATCAGGGCAACTAGGTACCTGTTTAACAAAGTATCTGGTTAAGCAGGTACCCACACACACACAAGGTGACTGATCCCCTGCTTCACAACAGACAGGTACTGGATGGACAACCTCTTCTGCGTGGGGACTGAAGAGTCCCTGACAGACTGCAGGTTTGACGGCTGGGGCGTCCACGACTGTCAGAATGATGAGTCAGCAGGTGTGGTCTGTCAGTCCCACTTTGCTACCACCCCAGGGACCCCCACACTGCCCCCCAGGGACGAGCCCATCATTGTCAACAAGACTAAACTAGGGGTAAGTGGTTCTAGTACCCCAGGGACCCCCACACTGCCCCCCAGGGACGAGCCCATCATTGTCAACAAGACTAAACTAGGGGTAAGTGGTTCTAGTACCCCAGGGACCCCCATACTGGCCCTCAGGGACCCCCATACTGCCCCCCAGGGACGAGCCCATCACTGTCAACAAGACTAAACTAGGGGTAAGTGGTTCTAGTACCCCAGGGACCCCATACTGGCCCTCAGGGACCCCCACACTGTTCCCCAGGGACCCCCACACTGCCCCAAGGGACCAGCCCATCATTGTCAACAAGACTAAACTAGGGGTAAGAGGTTCTAGTACCCCAGGGACCCCCATACTGGCCCTCAGGGCCCCCCACACTGTTCCCCAGGGACCCCCACACTGCCCCCCAGGGAGCCCCACACTGTTCCCCAGGGACGAGCCCATCATTGTCAACAAGACTAACCTAGGGGTAAGTGGTTCTAGTACCCCAGGGACCCCCATACTGACCCCCAGGGACCCCCACACTGCCCCCTAGGGACGAGCCCATTACTGTCAACAAGACTAAACTAGGGGTAAGTGTGTTAGGTAAGACACATATGCAACAGTTAGGTATCTTTATTATGAAACGTTTCGCCTACACAGTAGACTTCTTCAGTCAAGTACAGAAAATTGTGGCAACGTTTCGCTCTCCAGGAGCTTTATCAAGCCATAATGGCTTGATAAAGCTCCTGGAGAGCGAAACGTTGCCACAATAGATAATGGCTTGATAAAGCTCCTGGAGAGCGAAACGTTGCCACAATAGATAATGGCTTGATAAAGCTCCTGGAGAGCGAAACGTTGCTACAATAGATAATGGCTTGATAAAGCTCCTGGAGAGCGAAACGTTGCTACAATAGATAATGGCTTGATAAAGCTCCTGGAGAGCGAAACGTTGCTACAATAGATAATGGCTTGATAAAGCTCCTGGAGAGCGAAACGTTGCCACAATAAGTACAGAAAAGTTGATAGAAGCAGAAGATACTTGAAGACGATGTAATCAGTCCATCACCCTTAAAGTTTTGAGGTGGTCAGTCCCTCAGTCTGGAGAAGAGCATTGTTCCATAGTATGAAACAATATGGAGAAGAAGTGACAGGATGGAGCCTTATATAGTGCCAGGAGGTGAGACGTAGGTTGATTTGGGAGGGCAGGTCCCTCTCAAACCCAGCCGTTCTCACTAGTAGAGGTTGTCAAAGTTGATGGTCTGTATTACATCGTCTTCAAGTATCTTCTGCTTCTATCAACTTTTCTGTACTCGACTGAAGAAGCCTACTGTGTAGGCGAAACGTTTCGTAATAAAGATACCAAACTGTTGCATATGTGTCTTACCTAACAACCTGTCGGTATTTTATACTATTTTAATGTTTACACTGTCAACAAGACTAAACTAGGAGTATGTGGTTCTACTACCCCATGGACCCCATACTGATCCCCAGGGACCCCCACACTGCCGCCAGGGACGAGCCCATCACTGTCAACAAGACTAAACTAGGAGTATGTGGTTCTACTACCCCATGGACCCCATACTGATCCCCCAGGGACCCCCACACTGCCCACAGGGACGAGCCCATCACTGTCAACCAGACTAAACTAGGGGTAAGTGGTTCTAGTACCCCAGTGACCTCCATACTGACCCCCAGGGACCCCCACATTGCCCCAAGGGACCAGCCAATCACTGTCAACAAGACTAAAGTAGGGGTAAGTGGTTCTAGTACCCCAGTGACCCCCATACTGACCCCCAGGGACCCTTACACAGCCCCCAGGGACCAGCCCATCACTGTCAACAAGACTAAAGTAGGGGTAAGTGGTTCTAGTACCCCAGGGACCCCCATACTTACCCCGAGGGACCCCCACACTGCCCCCAGGGACCAGCTCATCACTGTCAACAAGACTAAACTAGGGGTAAGTGGTTCTAGTACCCCAGGGACCCCCATACTTACCCGAGGGACCCCCACACTGCCCCCAGGGACCAGCTCATCACTGTCAACAAGACTAAACAAGGGGTAAGTGGTTCTAGTACCCCAGGGACCCCCATACTTACCCCCAGGGACCCCCACACTGCCCCAAGGGACGAGCCCATCACTGTCAACCAGACTAAACTAGGGGTAAGTTATTTTAGTACCCCAGGGACCTCCATACTGACCTCCAGGGACCCCCACATTGCCCCAAGGGACCAGCCCATCACTTCAACAAGACTAAACTAGGGGTAAGTGGTTCTAGTACCCCAGGGACCCCCATACTGACCACCAGTGACCCCCATACTGACCCCCAGGGACCTTACTCTGCCCCCCTGGGACCAGCCCATCACTGTCAACAAGACTAAACTATGGGTGAGTGGTTCTAGTACCCCAGGGACCCCCATGGTGCCCCCAGGGACCCCCATACTGATCCCCAGGGACCCACACACTGCCCCCAGGGACCAGCCAATCACTGTCAACAAGACTAAACTAGGGGTGAGTGGTTCTAGTACCCCAGGGACCCCATACTGACCCCAGTACCCCCAACTGCCCCCCAGGGACCAGCCCATCACTGTCAACAAGACTAAACTAGGGGTAAGTGGTTCTAATTAGGGTTTTACTGGGTTAGGACATGAGCCACACTCAGTACAGGTGGTGTTTTAGTATTGTCAAGGGACCCCATCACTGAAGACAAGAGATCCTAGGCCTCCTAGGGAACCAGCCCATCATGTCACTAGCTAACTAAGAGTGTTATTAGACCCGGGACCTCATGTCTAGACCTACTGTGAGGACCCAACCACTGCCCCAGGGACCACTCATCACTGTCAAAAGACTAACTGGTAGTGGTTCCAGTAAGCCCAGTGACCCCTTACAACCTTACTCCAGCACCCCGGGAACTCAGCCACGACGTCAACTAGTACAGGACGGACTACAAGGGCCGTGTGGAGGGCACTGCCGTCTAGCTCCCATGGGCCTCATCGTGCCAGGGACTGGAGCTATATGTAAGGCTACTGGTAGGTCGTACCCAGGCACTGGCCTAAAACCCCAGGTGCGCCTAGCTGGGACGCATCGACTGTTTAGCAGCTAAATGGTGAAGGGTATATAGTGTTTGTATGCTGGTATGGAATGTGACTGCAGGTTTTTAACGTCTTCGGGGATCCGAGCTACTGTAGACTGAACAGTGTATGGTGTTCTGAGGCAGTGTACATGCGGTCTACTGAGGGAACAGTGAGATCATGTTCTAAGGGCAATGTATGTTGTTTGAGCAGTACTATGCTAGAATTCCCAGACCGTGGGCATCATGTGAGTTTGGAGGGCAGTGTATGTGGTTTGGTATGTTGGTTTGAGGTGCAGCTGATGTGTGTCTGTGGGCTGTATTGGGTTTGAGGGAGTGTATGTTGTAGTTGAGGCAGTGTAGTGTGTTGAGGGCAGTGTAATGTGTGTTTGAGGGCGTGTATGTGTGTTTGAGGCTGTATGTGGTTAGGGGCAGTGGTAGTGTTTGTTTTGAGGGCAGTGTATGGTGTTTGATGGCAGTGTATGTGTGTCTTGGGGCATGTATGTGGTGTTGGAGGGCAGTGTATGTGTGTTTGTATGGCTAGTGTTATGCTGATGTTTGAGGCAGTGTATGTGGTTTGAGGGCAGTGTATGTGTGTTTGAGGGCAGTGTATGTGTGTGTTGAGGCAGTGTATGTGTGTTTGAGGCAGTGTATGTGTGTTTGAGGGCGTGTATGTGTGTTTGAGGCATGTATGTGTGTTTGAGGGCAGTGTATGTGTGTATGGGGCAGTGTATGTGTGTTTGAGGGCAGTGTATGTGTGTTTGAGGGCAGGTATGTGTTTTAGGGCGTGTATGTGTGTTTGAGGGCAGTGTATGTGTGTCTGTGGGCAGTGTATGTGTGTTTGAGGGCAGTGTATGTGTGTTTGTGTATGTGTGTTTTAGGGCAGTGTATGTGTGTTTGAGGCAGTGTATGTGTGTTTGAGGGGCAGTGTATGTGTGTTTGAGGCAGTGTATGTGTGTTGGGCAGTGTATGTGTTTGAGGGCAGTGTATGTGTGTTTGAGGCAGTGTATGTGTGTTTGGAGTGAGTGTTTGAGGGCAGTGTATGTGTGTTTGAGGCAGTGTATGTGTGTTTTGAGAGGATGTGTTGGTGTATGTGTGTTTGAGGCAGTGTATGTGTGTTTGAGGGCAGTGTATGTGTGTTTGAGGGCAGTGTATGTGTGTTTGAGGCAGTGTATGTGTTTTGAGGCAGTGTATGTTTGGTATGTTTTGAGGCAGTGTATGTGTGTTTGAGGCAGTGTATGTGTGTTTGAGGGCAGTGTATGTGTGTTTGAGGGCAGTGTATGTGTGTTTGAGGCAGTGTATGTGTGTTTGAGGGCAGTGTATGTGGGGTGTATGTTTTGAGGGCAGTGTATGTGTGTTTGAGTGCAGTGTATGTGTTTTGAGGCATGTATGTGTTTTGAGGGCAGTGTATGTGTGTTTGAGGCAGTGTATGTGTGTTTAGGGCAGTGTATGTGTGTTTGAGGGCAGTGTATGTGTGTTTGAGGGCAGTGTATGTGTGTTTGAGGTAGTGTATGTGTGTTTGAGGCAGTGTATGTGTGTTTGAGGGCAGTGTATGTGTGTTTGAGGGCAGTGTATGTGTGTTTGAGGGCAGTGTATGTGTGTTTGAGGGAGTGTATGTGTGTTTGAGGCAGTGTATGTGTGTTTGAGGGCAGTGTATGTGTGTTTGAGGTGTATGTGTGTTTGAGGGCAGTGTATGTGTGTTTGAGGCATGTATGTGTGTTTGAGGGCAGTGTATGTGTGTTTGAGGCAGTGTATGTGTGTTTGGCAGTGTATGTGTGTTTGAGGGCAGTGTATGTGTTTTGAGGGCAGTGTATGTGTGTTTGAGGGCAGTGTGTGTGTTTGGTAGTTAGTGGTTTGAGGGCAGTGTATGTGTGTTTGAGGCAGTGTATGTGTGTGTTATTGGTTGAGCAGTGTATGTGTGTTTAGGGCAGTGTATGTGTGTTTGAGGGCAGTGTATGTGTGTTTGAGGCAGTGTATGTGTGTTGTTTGTTGAGGGCAGTGTATGTGTGTTTGAGGGCATGTGTATGTGTGTTTGAGGGCAGTGTATGTGTGTTTGAGGGCAGTGTATGGTGTTGTGATGTGTGTTTGAGGGCAGTGTATGTGTGTTTGAGGGCAGTGTATGTGTGTTTGAGGCAGTGTATGTGGTGTTTGAGGCAGTGTATGTGTGTTTGAGGGCAGTGTATGTGTGTTTGAGGCAGTGTATGTGTGTTTGAGGGCAGTGTATGTGGTGTTTGAGGCAGTGTATGTGTGTTTGAGGGCAGTGTATGTGTGTTTGAGGCAGTGTATGTGTGTTTGAGGGCATGTATATGTGTTTGAGGCAGTGTATGTGTGTTTGAGGGCAGTGTATGTGTGTTTGAGGGTAGTGTATGTGTGTTTGAGGGCAGTGTATGTGTGTTTGAGGCAGTGTATGTGTGTTTGAGGGTAGTGTATGTGTGTTTGAGGCAGTGTATGTTGTGAGGGTTGTGTTTGAGGCAGTGTATGTGTGTTTGAGGCAGTGTATGTGTGTTTGAGGCAGTGTATGTGTGTTTGAGGCAGTGTATGTGTGTTTGAGGGCAGTGTATGTGTGTTTGAGGGCAGTGTATGTGTGTTTGAGGCAGTGTATGTGTGTTTGAGGGCAGTGTATGTGTGTTTGAGGCAGTGTATGTGTGTTTGAGGGCAGTGTATGTGTGTTTTGAGGGCAGTGTATGTGTGTTTGAGGCAGTGTATGTGTGTTTGAGGGCAGTGTATGTGTGTTTGAGGAGTGTATTGTGTTGAGGCATGTGTGTGTTGAGGCAGTTGGTTATGGGATGTGTTTGAGGGCAGTGTATGTGTGTTTGAGGCAGTGTATGTGTGTTTGAGGGCAGTGTATGTGTGTTTGAGGCAGTGTATGTGTGTTTGAGGGCAGTGTATGTGTGTTTGAGGCAGTGTATGTGTGTTTGAGGCAGTGTATGTGTGTTTGAGGGCAGTGTATGTGTGTTTGAGGGCAGTGTATGTGTGTTTGAGGGCAGTGTATGTGTGTTTGAGGGCAGTGTATGTGTGTTTGAGGGCAGTGTATGTGTGTTTGAGGGCAGTGTATGTGTGTTTGAGGCAGTGTATGTGTGTTTGAGGGCAGTGTATGTGTGTTTGAGGCAGTGTATGTGTGTTTGAGGGCAGTGTATGTGTGTTTGAGGGCAGTGTATGTGTGTTTGAGGGCAGTGTATGTGTGTTTGAGGGCAGTGTATGTGTGTTTGAGGCAGTGTATGTGTGTTTGAGGGCAGTGTATGTGTGTTTGAGGGCAGTGTATGTGTGTTTGAGGGCAGTGTATGTGTGTTTGAGGCAGGTATGTGTGAGATTTGTGTTTGAGGCAGTGTATGTGTGTTTGAGGCAGTGTATGTGTGTTTGAGGGCAGTGTATGTGTGTTTGAGGCAGTGTATGTGTGTTTGAGGCAGTGTATGTGTGTTTGAGGCAGTGTATGTGTGTTGAGGGCAGTGTATGTGTGTTTGAGGCAGTGTATTGTGTGTTTGAGGCAGTGTATGTGTGTTTGAGGCAGTGTATGTGTGTTTGAGGCAGTGTATGTGTGTTTGAGGCAGTGTATGTGTGTTTGAGGCAGTGTATGTGTGTTTGAGGCAGTGTATGTGTGTTTGAGGCAGTTATGTGTTTGAGCAGTGTATGTGTGTTTGAGGCAGTGTATGTGTGTTTGAGGCAGTGTTGTTGGGTGTTTTGAGGCAGTGTATGTGTGTTTGAGGCAGTGTATGTGTGTTTGAGGGCAGTGTATGTGTGTTTGAGGGCAGTGTATGTGTGTTTGAAGGCAGTGTATGTGTGTTTGAGGGCAGTGTATGTGTGTTTGAGGCAGTGTATGTGTGTTTGGGGCAGTGTATGTGTGTTTGAGGGCAGTGTATGTGTGTTTGAGGGCAGTGTATGTGTGTTTGTGAATGACAGTGAGGATATAAGAGTTCTAACATCAACTGCTACATCAATCAGTCACTTCCAAAATATCAATAGAAACAGCACTTCCCCTCTTTCTAGGGCCCCCTGTGGTGATGTCACCTCCAGTACCTGACACCCCACGACGCTAGAGCCCCTTACCCCCTTCTTGGAAACCCCCTGAACCCAAGAACACTCCCCTACCTCTTTCCTTGAACTCCCGTGACCCCTAGAACACCCCCTACCTTCGTCCTCGAACCCCCTGATTCCTAGAACACTCTGTTACCTTACTCCTAGTATCTCCTGACCCCTAGAACACCCCCTACCTTCGTCCTCGAACCCCCTGATTCCTAGAACACTCTGTTACCTTACCCCTAGTATCTCCTGACCCCTAGAACACTCTCCCACCTCCCTCATGGAACCCTTGACTCCTAGAACACCCCCTACCTACTTCTAGAACTCCGTGACCCCTAGAACACTCCTCTACCCCCCCCTTTCTGGAAGATTGAAGGTCAATTTGAATTTGATAATAAATCTGTTACTATCAGAAAAGCGATTCCTCTCTCCTGAGGGGCCCCTACTTTCTGTTGTGATGTCACCTCTCCGTACCACACACTCCGTGACACCTAGAATATATCCCTATCTACCTCCTACAACCCCTCCAGACCCACTCAACTCACAGGGAATCCTCTGACAGGATACTTCGGAGGGAACAAGTCAGAGATAGTGATCAGTGGAGTGAAGTGTACCGGCAACGAGGAGTCACTGGATCAGTGCTTACATGACCGTGTTGGTGACGTCTTCTGTCCAGACCCAGCGCCAGATCCCAACATTGCTGGAGTCACCTGTGTGGGGAGTAAGTAGACTAAGTTAGACTCTAAATTGACTGTAAGTTGGTTATAAGTTGGTATATTTATAACAATGAGGTACTGATCCTCTACTATGAAGACTAAGGGACTGTCCTCCACTATGAAAACTGACAGACTGACCCCTGCTATCAAGACCCAGTGACTGACTCCCTACTATCAAGACCCAGTGACTGACTCCCTACTATCAAGACCCAGTGACTGACCCCTACTATCAAGACCCAGTGACTGACCCCTACTATCAAGACCCAGTGACTGACCCCTACTATCAAGACCCAGTGACTGACCCCTACTGTCAAGACCCAGTGACTAACCCCTACTATCAAGACCCAGTGACTGACCCCTACTATCAAGACCCAGTGACTGACCCCTACTATCAAGACCCAGTGACTGACCCCTACTATCAAGACCCAGTGACTGACCCCTACTATCAAGACCCAGTGACTGACTCCCTACTATCAAGACTAAGGGACTGACCCCCTGATCTCCCACTATACCCACAGAGATGGCAGACCTGGTGCCAGACCACATAGAGCTCTCCAGGTCAGCTCACCTGGAGGACAAACAACTCTTCTTTCTGCAGTGTGCCATGGAAGAGAACTGCCTGGCAGGTTCCGCAAGCAAAGTTCAGGTAAGCTGGAACTTTTGGCAGCTTTAAGAAGCTTGTAGAGTAAGATAAAGCTGTGGGGAGCCTTTAGAGAGCTTGTAGAGTAAGATAAAGCTGTGGGGAGCCTTTAGAGAGCTTGTAGAGTAAGCTGGAGGTATCTTAACTCTACCTCCAGGACAGAGGTTATGGCAGGCACCTGGAGACCAGGAGACTCTGTTAACTCTACTTTACCTCCAGGACAGTGGTTATGGCTGGCACCTGGAGACCAGGAGACTCTGTTAACTCTACTTTACCTCCAGGACAGTGGTTATGGCTGGCACCTGGAGACCAGGAGACTCTGTTAACTCTACTTTACCTCCAGGACAGTGGTTATGGCTGGCACCTGGAGACCAGGAGACTCTGTTAACTCTACTTTACCTCCAGGACAGCGGTTATGGCTGGCACCTGGAGACCAGGAGACTCTGTTAACTCTACTTTACCTCCAGGACAGTGGTTATGGCTGGCACCTGGAGACCAGGAGACTCTCTTAACTCTACTTTACCTCCAGGATAGCGGTTATGGCTGGCACCTGGAGACCAGGAGACTACTCAGGTTCACAGCCAGGATAGTCAATCAGGGAGACGAGGCCTTTAGGCCCTTCTTGCCCAAGCAATATTGGATCTGGCACGCCTGTCACATGTAAGTAGAGTCTGGTGGTGTGTAAGTAGAGTTTGATTGTGTGTAAGTAGAGTTTGGTGGTGTGTAAGTAGAGCCTGGTGGTGTGTAAGTAGAGTCTGGAGTGTGAGTAGAGTCTGGTGCGTGTAAGTAGAGTCTGGTGTGTGTAAGTAGAGTCTGGTGGTGTGTAAGTAGAGTTTGGTGGTGTGTATGTAGAGTCTGATGGTGTGTAAGTAGAGTTTGGTGGTGTGTAAGTAGAGTCTGGAGTGTGAGTAGAGTCTGGTGCGTGTAAGTAGAGTCTGGTGTGTGTAAGTAGAGTTAGATGGTGTGAAAGTAGAGTCTGGTGTGTGTAAGTAGAGTCTGGTGGTGTGTAAGTAGAGTTTGGTGGTGTGTATGTAGAGTCTGATGGTGTGTAAGTAGAGTTTGGTGGTGTGTAAGTAGAGTCTGGAGTGTGAGTAGAGTCTGGTGCGTGTAAGTAGAGTCTGGTGTGTGTAAGTAGAGTCTGGTGGTGTGTAAGTAGAGTTTGGTGGTATGTAAGTAGAGTCTGGAGTGTGAGTAGAGTCTGGTGTGTGTAAGTAGAGTCTGGTGTGTGTAAGTAGAGTCTGGTGGTGTGTAAGTAGAGTTTGGTGGTGTGTATGTAGAGTCTGATGGTGTGTAAGTAGAGTTTGGTGGTGTGTAAGTAGAGTCTGGAGTGTGAGTAGAGTCTGGTGCGTGTAAGTAGAGTCTGGTGCGTGTAAGTAGAGTCTGGAGTGTGAGTAGAGTCTGGTGCGTGTAAGTAGAGTCTGGTGGTGTGTAAGTAGAGTTTGGTGGTATGTAAGTAGAGTCTGGAGTGTGAGTAGAGTCTGGTGTGTGTAAGTAGAGTCTGGTGTGTGTAAGTAGAGTCATGGTGGTGTGTAAGTAGAGTTTGGTGGTGTGTAAGTAGAGTCTGGTGGTGTGTAAGAAGAGTCTGGTGGTGTGTAAGTAGAGTCTGGAGGTGTGTAAGTAGAGTCTGGTGGTGTGTACGTAGAGTTTTGTGGTGTGTAAGTAGAGTCTGGTGGTGTGTAAGTAGAGTTTGGTGGTGTGTAAATAGAGTCTGGTGGTGTGTAAGTAGAGTTTGGTGGTGTGTAAATAGAGTCTGGTGGTGTGAAAGTAGAGTCTGGTGGTGTGTAAGTAGAGTTTGGTGGTGTGTAAATAGAGTCTGGTGGTGTGTAAGTAGAGTCTGGTGGTGTGAAAGTAGAGTCTGGTGGTGTGTAAGTAGAGTTTGGTGGTGTGTAAATAGAGTCTGGTGGTGTGAAAGTAGAGTCTGGTGGTGTGTAAGTAGAGTTTGGTGGTGTGTAAATAGAGTCTGGTGGTGTGTAAGTAGAGTCTGGTGGTGTGTAAGTAGAGTCTGGAGGTGTGTAAGTAGAGTCTGGTGGTGCGTAAGTAGAGTCTGGTGGTGTGTAAACAGAGTCTGGTGGTGCGTAAGTAGAGTCTGGTGTGTGTAAGTAGAGTCTGGTGGTGTGTAAGTAGAGTTTGGTGTGTAAGTAGACTCTGATGTGTGTGTAAGTAGAGTCTGGTGGTGTGTAAGTAGAGTTTGGTGTGTAAGTAGAGTCTGGCGTGTGTGTAAGTAGAGTCTGGTGGTGTGTAAGTAGAGTTTGTGTGTGTGTGTAAGTAGAGTCTGGTGGTGTGTAAGTAGAGACTTGTGTGTGTGTAAGTAGAGTCTGGTGGTGTGTAAGTAGAGTTTGGTGTGTAAGTAGAGTCTGGTGGTGTGTAAGTAGAGTTTGGTGTGTAAGTAGAGTCTGGCGTGTGTGTAAGTAGAGTCTGGCGTGTGTGTAAGTAGAGTCTGGTGGTGTGTAAGTAGAGTCTGGTGGTGTGTAAGCACAATCTGGTGGAGTGTAAGCAGAGTCTGGTGGAGTGTAAGCAGAGTCTGGTGGTGTATAAGCAGAGTCTGGTGGAGTGTAAGCAGAGTCTGGTGGAGTGTAAGCAGAGTCTGGTGGAGTGTAAGCAGAGTCTGGTGGCGTGTAAGCAGAGTCTGGTGGAGTGTAAGTAGAGTCTGGTGGAGTGTAAGCAGAGTCTGGTTGAGTGTAAACAGAGTCTGGTGGTGTGTAAGCAGAGTCTGGTGGTGTGTAAGTAGAGTCTGGTGGAGTGTAAACAGAGTCTGGTGGTGTGTAAGTAGAGTCTGGTGGTGTGTAAGCACAATCTGGCGGAGTGTAAGCAGAGTCTGGTGGAGTGTAAGCAGAGTCTGGTGGTGTGTAAGCAGAGTCTGGTGGAGTGTAAGCAGAGTCTGGTGGAGTGTAAGCAGAGTCTGGTGGAGTGTAAGCAGAGTCTGGTGGTGTGTAAGCAGAGTCTGGTGGAGTGTAAGTAGAGTCTGGTGGAGTGTAAGCAGAGTCTGGTGGAGTGTAAACAGAGTCTGGTGGTGTGTAAGCAGAGTCTGGTGGTGTGTAAGTAGAGTCTGGTGGAGTGTAAACAGAGTCTGGTGGAGTGTAAGCAGAGTCTGGTGGAGTGTAAACAGAGTCTGGTGGAGTGTAAGCAGAGTCTGGTGGAGTGTAAGTAGAGTCTGGTGGAGTGTAAGCAGAGTCTGGTGGAGTGTAAGCAGAGTCTGGTGGTGTGTAAGCAGAGTCTGGTGGTGTGTAAGCAGAGTCTGGTGGTGTGTAAGCAGAGTCTGGTGGTGTGTAAGCAGAGTCTGGTGGAGTGTAAGCAGAGTCTGGTGGTGTGTAAGCAGAGTCTGGTGGAGTGTAAGCAGAGTCTGGTGGAGTGTAAGCAGAGTCTGGTGGTGTGTAAGCACAATCTGGTGGAGTGTAAGCAGAGTCTGGTGGAGTGTAAGCAGAGTCTGGTGGAGTGTAAGCAGAGTCTGGTGGAGTGTAAGCAGAGTCTGGTGGTGTGTAAGCAGAGTCTGGTGGTGTGTAAGCAGAGTTTGGTGGTGTGTAAGCAGAGTCTGGTGGATTGTAAGCAGAGTCTGGTGGAGTGTAAGTAGAGTCTGGTGGTGTGTAAGTAGAGTCTGGTGGTGTGTAAGCAGAGTCTGGTGGAGTGTAAGCAGAGTCTGGTGGAGTGTAAGCAGAGTCTGGTGGAGTGTAAGCAGAGTCTGGTGGTGTGTAAGCAGAGTCTGGTGGTGTGTAAGCAGAGTCTGGTGGTGTGTAAGCAGAGTCTGGTGGTGTGTAAGCAGAGTCTGGTGGTGTGTAAGCAGAGTCTGGTGGTGTGTAAGCAGAGTCTGGTGGTGTGTAAGTAGAGTCTGGTGGAGTGTAAGCAGAGTCTGGTGGTGTGTAAGCAGAGTCTGGTGGTGTGTAAGCAGAGTCTGGTGGTGTGTAAGCAGAGTCTGGTGGTGTGTAAGCAGAGTCTGGTGGTGTGTAAGTAGAGTCTGGTGGAGTGTAAGCAGAGTCTGGTGGTGTGTAAGCAGAGTCTGGTGGTGTGTAAGCAGAGTCTGGTGGTGTGTAAGCAGAGTCTGGTGGAGTGTAAGCAGAGTCTGGTGGTGTGTAAGTAGAGTCTGGTGGAGTGTAAGTAGAGTCTGGTGGTGTGTAAGTAGAGTCTGATGGAGTGTAAGCAGAGTCTGGTGGTGTGTAAGTAGAGTCTGGTGGAGTGTAAGTAGAGTCTGGTGGTGTGTAAGTAGAGTCCCCCACTAAAGCTCTACCCCCCCCCCAGGCACTACCACAGTATGGAGGTATTTGCCCACTACGACATCATTGATGCCTCGGGCAGCCGTATAGCAGAGGGACATAAGGCATCTTTCTGCCTGGAGGACAACAACTGCCTGCCGGGGGTGTCACCAGTGTTCAAGTGTGCTAACTACGGTGATCAGGGGATCAGTCCCGGCTGTACCGACACTTACGCTTACAACATTGACTGTCAGTGGATCGATATTACCGACGTTAAGCCCGGCACTTATACCTTTAAGGTGGGTGCATCTCTGGCCGGTAGAGCTCTGGCTTGTAGAGCTCTGGTTTGTAGAGTTCTGGCCTCTGGAGCTCTGGCCTCTGGAGCTCTGGCTTGTAGAGTTCTGGCCTATGGATCTCTGGCTTGTAGAGTTCTGGCCTATGGATCTCTGGCTTGTAGAGTTCTAGCCTATGGATCTCTGGCTTGTAGAGTTCTGGCCTATGGAGCTCTGGCTTGTAGAGTTCTGGCCATTGGAGCTCTGGCTTGTAGAGCTCTGGCCTCGAGCTGTGGCCTCAGGAGCTCTGGCCTCTGGAGCTCTGGCTTGTAGAGCTCTGGCCTCAAGGTCTGGCTTGTAGAGCTCTGGAGGTCTGTCTTTAAGAGCTCTGGAATCTGGAGCTCTGGCTTGTAGAGCTGTGGCCTCGAGCTCTGGCTTGTAGAGCTCTGGAGGCCTGGCTTAAAGAGCTCTGGAATCTGGAGCTCTGACTTTTAGAGTTTCCTTAAGATAGGTTTTAATATGTATAGAGTTTTCAGTTAGGTTTTAATGTTTAGAGCTTTCTTGTTTTAGGTTTCTCTGTGTAGAGTTTTGTCGTGTAGAGCTTTGCTAACTTGTCTTTAATATATGTAGAGCTTTCTTAAGTTCTTTTTTATTTGTGTAGAGCTTTGCTTTTTTAATATGTGTAGAGATTTAAGTTAGGCTTAAATCTATGCAGAGTTTTGTCTTGTAGAGCTTTGCTGAGTCATTTTCTAATAGGTATAGAGTTTTGTCAATTTATTTTTCACTCTGTGTAGAGCTTTACCTTCCACTCCAGGTAGAGCTATCGCAAGTACAGCCTCGTACATTAGACGCTTGAAGTGTAGAGCTTAGTAGTGTGTAGAGCTTTGGAATGTAGAGCTTGTAGAGTAGAGCTTCTGGTATGAAGAGCTTTGGCTTGTGGAGCTTTGTAGTGTCGAACTTTATAAAGTAGAACTTTGTAGTGTAGAGCTTTGTAGTGTAGAGCTTTTGTAGTGTAGAGCTTTATGTAGAACTTTGTAGTGTAGAGCTTTTGTAGTGTAGAGCTTTATGTAGAACTTTGTAGTGTAGAGCTTTTGTAGTGTAGAACTTTGTAGTGTAGAGCTTTGTAGTGTAGAGCTTTTGTAGTGTAGAGCTTTATGTAGAACTTTGTAGTGTAGAGCTTTTGTAGTGTAGACTTTGTAGTGTAGAGCTTTGTAGTGTAGAACTTTGTAAAGTAGAACTTTGTAGTGTAGAGCTTTGTAGTGTAGAGCTTTTATAGTGTAGAGCTTTATGTAGAACTTTGTAGTGTAGAGCTTTTGTAGTGTAGAACTTTGTAGTGTAGAGCTTTGTAGTGTAGAGCTTTGTAGTGTAGAGCTTTATGTAGAACTTTGTAGTGTAGAGCTTTTGTAAATGTAGAACTTTGTAGTGTAGAGCTTTGTAGTGTAGAACTTTGTAAAGTAGAACTTTGTATAGTGTAGACTTTGTTGT